TATATGTATGTATGTGATAATTATGTGTGCACTTTTACGGAGCTGCTCTCCAAATCTCATTGTACTGTGTACAATGACAATAAAGGCTTTCAATTCAATTTCAATTCTATGGAAACATATCTGCCGGGAGTGATAAGGGCGGAGCCTAGACGCCAAAACCTAAATATGCTATACTGCTGTAATAAACACTTCAAACGAACCAATGAGGAGGCTCGTTAATGACGTTGCTCCGAGCCAGTAAAACATCAACCAGATAACGACTGTCTGACTGTTAATATCCAACCATACGTAACTTTACACACAGACATCAACAGTAGCCGAAGTTTACGCGTAGTCCAAGATGATGATGAAAATGATCAAACTCAATCAATCTATAACAGAACGTCGGCTCCACATAGTCGCAAGCTGTTTTTATTGAACAAAAAAGACGAAATTACGAACTATTTTTGCAATCTTTACTTTCAGCCAGAATTTTATTGCAAAAAAAGACAAAAACATCACAACATGCAGACGTTTCAGGCAACAATCCCCCCCAAAAAAACCCAAACTCTTCTAGAGACCAAAATGTACAAATCCTGTTTATCAGGAAGAGCCCAGCTCCCCCCGACCCGCTGTATCACCCCCAACATACCGCCGCTGCGTCAGAGACTCAATGACTTCCTGTGTAATAAAGTCAGCTGATCGTTTATAGAGATCACCAATCAAACTAATTAGAACCAATATCCTCCGATTATATTCAAAATCCTGTTTCAGCGCCGGCTTTAACCGCTGTAGAAGAAGAAAGTTCCGTTTAAAGGGAGATGGATTACTGATTGGTTTAATTAACTAATAACAGATGACAGCAGTCTCTCACATCAGGACGCCATGTTGGATCTGCTGCAGTCAACCACAGGTGTGTGGAGTGATGTCATCGGCTAGTCCATCACACGTTAAACAAGCAGCTTCAGGCTCCGGTTAGAGTTCCCAGCATGCCGAGCAGCAGCAGCGTCAGCTCCAGTCGCGCTCGGTGCTGCTCGGCCGAGGCGACGGGTTGCAGGTGAACTCTCTGTGCATCAGAGATCATGTTTGTGGCATCCTGCAGCGCGCTGACGGCAGCCGCGCTGGAGTTCAGGTCTCCGCTGGTGATCAGGTCAAACACGCAGGCCTGGTAGTAGACGTCTCTGGCAGGAAGCAACGCGGCGCAGTGAGCCTGGGCGCTGGTGGCCGAGGAAGGCGAGGAGTCCGGCGGCGGTGGGCGGAGCGTGTTGAGTCTCTGGGAGGCGGGGCAGCCCCACAAACACAGCTGCAGGTCCTGCTCAGGGCCGAAGGCCTCAACGATGCTGCTCGGTGAGCGGACCGACAGGCCGAGCGAGCGTCCGCTCTGACGCACCACCAGCAGCGTGCCGATGTGAGCCGCCCGGATCTCTGCATGCCTGCCGGGACTCTGAGTCCGGACCGTCAGGCTGTGATGACCACGCCGCTCGCCGCTCGACACCGAGCCGTCAGCGAACGCAGCAGGGACGTTATCGAGCTCCGCCTGATACAGCTGCTGGTCGACGCACTGACGCCAGTTCTTAAAGATGATGGTGATCTGTGAGCAGACAAAGTGACACGATACGAAATGACTGCAGTAAAATACTAAAGTAATAAAACACGATGCAGTAACTTTACTCTGTGACTCACCTTCGTGAGTGCTGTGGCGTGTGTCCCCCCTCTCGTTGGCGAGCTGGTGGCCTGTATGTACAGGTACTCGTTGTCTACAAGAGGCCACGCCCCCTGCACGGCGCACGTCTGGAAGTCGTTGTTGAAGGTCCGAATGTGCGGGTCTCCGAACACGCCGCAGTGCAGGTACTCCGGTGTGCGGCCCTCTCTGATGGAGAAGCTCCTCTCGTACAGGCAGGCGTCTCCCAGCAGCGTGCCCTGAGGGAGGGGCCGGGGCTGGGCGGTAGGTCCCGCCCGCGGGCAGCGGTGCTGGATGAGCAGGTCCTCGATGCCCTGAACCGCAGAGTGATACGCCAGGTCGCCACGACATGCCCGCGCCATCCGCTTAGTGCACATGGCGTAGGAGCGCAGAGCGCTGCAGTAACCGGCGTTCACCGCCTCCCGGGTGAGAGATGCTCCTCCTCCTCCTCCTCCTCCTCCTCCGCTGCTGCTGCTGCTGCTGCCCAGGTCCAATGTCGCAGCCACAAAGTCCGAGTTACACCTCAGGATACGACAGGAAGCTGCGACTAAAGAGAGGAGGAAGAGTCTGGGTGGGTTTTAAAGAACAGATTTCAGAGCATTAACGCCGACCGCTCAGCAGACTCTGGGAACATCAATCCAACCGGCTCATAATGAGTCTGAAAGGAAGCCTCTGAGTTTAAAGAAAGCAACCTTTGTAATGTATGGAGGAACAACAGTGACCAGCAACAGGCTGAAGAGTGTGTGTTATATGTCTATGGTTAGCACACAGCAATGGCTTCCAGGAGTGTCTCTCTGCTATTGGTGAAGAACCGGGCGGAGTTAAAGTCCACTGGAACCAATGCTAACGTTAGCTTACGTCAGCTGACGTCAGCTGGGCTAATACGTGTCCACTAAAACACTGCCTGATGCTAACATGGTTAAATGTTTGTGTTCGTACCTTCAGGTAAACTCAGCTGGACCAGCAGCACAGTCAGGTGGATGCAGTGTTTCCATGGTAACGCCGTGTGTCGGGCGATGGTGGCCCGAGGCTCCATCAGCAGACTGGATGGGATCACGTAGATCACCAGGACTCTGAGACGGACAGAAAGGACGGGACAGTGTCACATTCACTAGTTCATTAATGTAGCTCGTAAGCTTAAAACCCCTCAACGTTCACGCTGCAGACGTCAGCAACCAGAACGACCTGCTGACAGGTCGCTGCGTGCTCATTGGTTGTTTAAATGAGAGGTTACGGTCATGCTAGCAGCGACCTGATGGTGGCGCTAGAGGAAAAGATGGAGGATCAATAAAGTTATTACAGTTCATCCTGAGTGGAACATGAATATCACAATCTAGCAGTATGTAATATTATTAATAACTGTAGCTAAGCTAACTGGGGTTGTCCGGCTGTATCTTGGTTGTACGGTGTGGGTCTGGTGTCGGTCGCTGTACGGTGTGGGTCTGGTGTCGGTCGCTGTACGGTGTGGGTCTGGTGTTGGTT